TGCTCATTACTAAGCAAGCAGGTAAACACGAAACCTGTACCAAATACCAAAGTTGGGTCCCTGGAGAGATCACAAGGGTTATACTTTTCTATTTATTTATTTACTGCCCGTGGCCTTAGGGCAGAAAGCACACTGCAAATTTACTTTACAGTTCAGTACAAAAAGCCAGGGGCAACCCCTTTTGATGCACCTTCCCTTAAGCACAACTTCAGCAACTCATTTTCCAGCTACTCCTTGAATGCATCTCAACATGGTTTGAATCAATGCATTTCTTGGAAGTGCCCACAAACTTCACTGTCTCATGACAGTGACCGAAGGACGGAGGGGCCACAGGGGTTACCTGGGAAAGCAAACAACAGCTAGTTACCTCAAAGTTATCCTCACACAAGAACTATCCAAAGACTCTTTTCTGAGTGGGTCTTACAGAAACATTAATCCAAAATAGCACTAGTATCTTAAAACTTTCCCACTGCCCATCTTTTTTAATTAGCTCCTTGTGTTGCAGATAGTCCATCCAAAAAAAAAAAAAAGAAAAAATGTGCAGATGGAAAAAACCCCAACAAATCAACAAATCTTTTTCTTCTCAGATACTGAGAAGACAAACTCATCTTTTTTATTTATTTTTTTAAGTGCTGCAGGAAATTTTTAAAACACAGGCATCTCTGATGGACCTTTGCACTGAAACAACCCAGGGAGTTACTTGCTCACGTGCAAGCAGTAAGATTTATGGACAATATTACACCTAAAAGTGGCAAGCTATCTTGGCAAAAGATAACACCACTCCTCAGCTATCTCCTATATATAATAGACAGAGGATGCTGAACAACACAGGGGTGGGTTTTTTTCCCAATAAAAGTGAAGAAATGAACTTTTAATTCATTATATGTTCAGAAAAAAAAAATGACCTTTAAGCACTGTTGCTAGGTTTTATATACACTGAATTAGCAGTGAGGTACAGCAAAAGCTGTTGGTGGCATATGCCTGCCTTATCACTTCAAGGAATGTATGTAAAATAGAGAGGTTTCACACAAAATCACCATGGCCTTTATAAAATAAATACAGAGCTACAGTAAGCAGAAAAAAAATTCAAATAATTGGATTCTGTTAATCTGTGGGGACATGGACTTAATACTGCATTTAATTTTGCTAAGTGGGAGGAAGATTATTGCAGGTAACATCCAAAAAATAGTCTCTGCTCAAATTGTATAACATTTACAAGCTTAAATACTCTGAGACAGTTATTAATAACTATAGCAGAACATTTCCATGTATTCAATCCACAGTTATGAAAGAAACTAAACATACAGGCCTCCTCCCAATGTAGACAACAATAATAATAATAATATTTACATTCCTCTACTCACATGCTTCCAACAGTCTTTTAAAAAAAAAAAAGACCTGTGAACTTGCTGGATCACAAGTGCCAGCCTCCTATGAAACACTGCAGAAAGCACAATTTTTAGGCATGTTATTTTACTTTTGAAAGAGCCTAGCTACTCACTGAGACAAAGCCATTCTCTTCTCAGAGTTTCTGAAACAAAAGCTGAAATTCATTCTTATCAAGTCTGTCATTGTCACAGCGGAGGACTTGTTGGGAGCTGCACTTGTTTACAGCCTACGGCTCCTGCAGGAAGAAGCATTTTAACTAATACCAGAATTTGAGCTTTTCACATGTAGTATTTTCATGTCCTGATTTGCTGTTTTGCAACTCAAGCTTCTTCCACATCGTTGTTGTTGGTTTTTTTTCAATTAATCTGTCTATTTTTTTTCCTGAATGGGAAATCAGAATGGATAGCAACACCTGTTTGACATTTACAAAAAATCTTCTAAAATCTGAGGGAGATTGAAATGCTTTTCCTTAAAAATAAAAACTCCCCATACAAATCATTTAATATCTACAACAGACTCGACTGGATCCCATACTCACAGAGTATCAACTGGTTCATGCTTTATGCAGTTTGTTAATATTAAGAAAGGTGCTGTACTTTTAGAAGAATTTGCTTGGAAGCTTGGAAGCAAGGAAAAAAATATACTAATATCTTAATGGAACAGACCCAAAAAAAAAAGTGCATTCTGTCATGGTAATTTTTTTTTTCAAGCTCTTAATACTTTAATATTACAGCAAATGTTATGAAGGCATTTGGCATCTTGCACAAAAGGCTGTTGTGGTTCCTGTAATGCTTTAATGCCCCCTCATGATGGACTGCTGGAAGAGCATAACGGGAGCCTGGTACCCAGACCTAAACAGGGCTGTTGGCTGAAATACAGTCTGTGGCACAGGGAAGTACAGCTCCCCACTGAACTCCTGACAACTTCTCAGCACAGTTCTTACCTGGCCTATGACTTGACAAGCAATCCTCAAACTACTCAAACTAAAACTGAAGGCATCTGCAAACCGAGGGAAACAAAATACATATTTGTTCTGCATGCATTTTTCCATTATCTTGAGTTACATAACTTAAAGAAAACTCATTGCTTTTTCAAAGGATGCTGATGAAGCTCTTTCCGTGTGATTAATTCTTCTTCCTTTCTCCCCCTCATTTGTGTAATTTTATAACACATATCACACTAATGTCTAAATTACCTAGGTAAATAAAACCCTGACTAAAAGACATTATTTTTCCCTTCTTTCTCTTTTGAAGAGTGATCTGATTCTTTAAAAACTGGCATAGAGCTTCTAATTTTTTTCATTCCATTAATACATTTGTGTCGTTAAATCAAAGCAAATTAAATCTAGGCAGTATTTTCACATTGCCAGTAGTTAACACGTACAACACTGAGTATTCATTATCATCTGATTAAAATAATTTTGTCTTCCTCTGTTAATAAACTGAAGGGTCACAGTTTATTACTTTACACCTGTAAGAACATGAACACATTTTATGAATAAAAAGGGTTGTTTAATTTTCAAATATTTATCTTTTTTTCTTGTAAATGATCAGTTTCAGTCACTGAGAGAGTTTCCTGTACACCCTAGTAAGGGTTTGTGTCTGTATGAATACACAAACGAGGGCACACTTTGATGAGTAAACATCTGTAAAAACTACCAACACTCCAAAGCTTTATTCTGCATCAAACGAAAGATGAACAGGAAGAAGGTATTTTCTGATGGTCTGCCATCACCACTACCATCTGATGGTCTGAAAAAATTCGAACTAGGATCCCGTGAAAAAAAAATAAAAAATTGAAGCGTTCTTCTGACTCTTTAATAGCACTCTGCTATTACATGCACATAGTTGATGTTTAAAGCAAAGCAAAATTCAGCTTCATCCCCTGTAATTATTGTGTCTCTGCACCACCAAATGTAATTACAAACAGCTCAGACATTCATCACTATATAAAAGCACAACTGAAGATTCCTGGAGAACAGATAACGGAAAGACATTGTTTTCACACAGTTCTCTTAGTCAAGCCGTAGTTTAACAACACTACCAATAAACAAGTGTACTAAGCCAACGTAAAGCAGACAGGGAAAAATTCATGTTTTATTTCGACTAGGGAATCCTCCAGTATTTGATTTATCGACGCTTATGACAACATGTCTCAAAGCAACAAGCAACAATGTGACGGATGAATATGACATCGCTACGACCATCCCAACTTCCCAAAGTTCACTGGCCTAACTACGTATAGCACCTCAAAGGCATGAAAGTATTTGTTCTAAACGGGCAAAAAAGCACAGACATAGGACAAGGTTCTTGTGCTCTTCTCACAAAGTTGTAACACTGGCAGAGCAGGCAGATGTGCCAGTTTCCAGGAGCTGGCTTCGCTCCGTGTCCCCTCTTGGCAATCAGCAGGGAACACCTGCAGCCAGCTCCAAACCACCCTCCTTCACAGTCACCCCAACTTTTCCAAACCGGTTTGACACCTGCTTGGTTTCTCTCTGGTTGGGGGGAGAAAGGCACCGGGGCACGCCAGATGCAGATTCAAACAAATTTCAACCAGGGCAGCAAATTAGACCCCGCATTTACATGAGGCAACAGGAGGCGTGTGGTTGGGATACCCGATCTCTATCTACAACAACACCACCCTCCTCTTCTTCAGGGTTACGTAATACACAGATAGCACTTAACCACTCGCTTGTTGGACACAATGCCTGTCAAACTGATCAGCTTCCAGGTTTGGGGGGAGGTGGGGGGGGGAAGAATTTGGCAGTTCACGCTTTAGGAACCATCACCCCTCACGGGAATGAATCCCCACGAAGCCTTCAGTGTCCCTTATCCCCAGGCAAGCCAGGCAAGATGAGGCTGGGAGCGTTGCGCCACCATGTCTATCGCAAGCACAACCGGCTCCGCAACACCTGCCTGGAAAAACAACCCGCTGACTTCTGCTCCACGGCAGGCTGTAAATCAGGGCACATCTTCACCCAGAGCCTGGCCTGGCTCTCGGAGGGGTTCCCAATGGGAGAGCTGAGAGCCTGTGACCCCTCACAGCATCGCTGTGCCACCCAGCAGCCCCACGGCTGCCCAGGGACAAACTCTGTGACCCCTCAGAGTCCCCCCCCCCCACGCTGTTTGGGTGCTTTGGCCCCTCGCACCCTCTGTTTGCTGAGTTTGGTTGGAAACACTCAGCCGTGTCACCATCAAGATGACTATAAACACCTCGTTTGTGAGATGCTACTCTCCGGCTGCTCTACTGAGATAAGGTGTGCACACACCGAGGGCGGGGGGGACACACACAAAAAGAGTCAGGGAGGAAGGAAAACTCATCAGACGGGACGGGAAAGCCACTTTCTGCACGGCTGCCTGCTCTCTGAAGCTCTTCCATGAGCGGCAGCGATCTCCCCACCGGGGTCTGGGGACCGAGGACGGTCACTGTCACCCTCCCGGGGGTGGTGGGGGGGGATGATGGAGGGGAGGCAGCCGGGACGCCCCGACGGCCAGGGCTTTCCTTCTCCCCTCGCACCCTGCCTGCCCTCCTCCCTCTCTCCATCCCTCCCTCCATCCCTCCCTCCCGCGGGGAGCGGGCCGGCCGTCGGGCTGCCCCCGTGGCGGCGGTACCTGCTTCTCCAGCGCAGCATCCTTGGCGCTGCCGGCGGCGGAGCTTTTGGGAGCCGGCACCCTCTCGCAGTTGCAGCCCTCCAGCATGTACATGCCGGCGGGGCGGGCGCTCTGCTCCCCTTCGAAGTAGAAGAGGACGTTTTGGTAGAGGGCGAACCACTTTTCGTGCCAGCGGTTGGTCTCCGCCGTCTTCTTGCTCAGGTAGCCCCGCTTGGTGCCTTCCTTGCGGGCCAAGAGGGCCAGGTACAGGGCGTGCCCCTCGTTATACCGCACGCTCTTCTGCATGGTGGCCACCGGCAGCCCCGCGGCCACTCGACCCGGCCCGAAGGGCAACCTCAGCGCGGCGGTACCGGCTGCGCCGCGCCGCGGCAGCGCTTCATGGGCGCCGACACGCACCGACGGGCGGCCCCCGCCCCCCCCCGACACACACACACACTCACACACACACACACTCCCTCCCGCTGGCCCCGGCCCCGCGCTGGGCAGGGAATTATCATTTTTATCCGCTTGAGCAACGTTCCCGGAGGCGCAGGAGCCTCCGAGCGCGGCTCGCCGGGATCGGCTCCGGCTGTGCCGGCCCTGCCAAAGCCGGGAATATTTTTAGCTCTTTCTGTTGTTGGGTTTGGCTTCTCTTTTTCTTTTTTTT